AGACAAGATTATTGAACAGCTTTTTGGGTGTTGCTGATGAATTGCTGATGCGTATCTTCAGTGAGTTCTGGTTGGTTTTGTTGAGGTGAGGATCTCTCCTCACCTCAACGTATGATGCCGTCTTATACCTTCACTTTTTAAAAATGCGAAAACAACTATAAGTCTTTGAGGCCTGTAAATATGGGTTTTATCATTGGAGATTCTCAGAATTGTGCCGCTGATGTACAGCACATGTGATCAGGTCAGTAGTTCCATGGGTTTGAAACTGTGACAAGGGTAGAATGCTTGCGGAGATGCAGAGTTCACAAACAGATCACACACACACAGATCATTAATCAGCTGATTGTGTATGTGTGAGTATCAGCGTGGCAACAATGAAGCCAAACAAAGTAGCCAGAGAATCACAGTTCAAACACGCACTCAAAGCCAGACCTACATGAAAAACAACCCGCTAACCAAACAGTGGAACTGGCTTCCCCTCCCATGCTGGCACAGCCACGGGCCTCATTCAGAACACTGTTTAATTCAACACCACTGAGACGTACTGTGATGTTATTCAAACAGCGCCGGCATTTCTGCATTTCCTCTTTTAAGATGTGAAGAGAGCATTAGATGTGTTTTTAAAATGTAAATACAGTTGGAATGTATCAGTGGCGTTCTAATGGCCTATTCTAGACCTTATGTAGCCCCACCCCTTTTCAGCACTGCACTCGTTGTGTTCTGTCTTCCGGTTTGTATTTCCACAGTATGAAGGTACGATTTTACGGATTTATGAATGAACTGCTCGTTTAAAATCCTTACCGGTCTACTGACATTTGTTATGACATCTGCTTCAAACATTACAATGCTCATGATAACTTTATTTAACTCTACAATCAGTAAATCCACTTCACCAGCTAATTACTCTTCGACAGCGATGCCATAGATACAGTATATACACTCACCTAAAGGATTATTAGGAACACCATAATAATACTGTGTTTGACATCCTTTCACCTTCAGAACTGCCTTAATTCTACGTGGCATTGATTCAACAAGGTGCTGAAAGCATTTTTTAGAAATGTTGACCCATATTGATAGGATAGCATCTTGCAGTTGATGGAGATTTGTGGGATGCACATCCAGGGCACGAAGCTCCCGTTCAACCACATCCCAAAGATGCTCTATTGGGTTGAGATCTGGTGATCACACCTTTTCACACCATTCTTTGTAAACCCTAGAAATGGTTGTGCGTGAAAATCCCAGTAACTGAGCAGATTGTGAAATACTCAGACCGGCCCGTCTGGCACCAACAACCATGCCACGCTCAAAATTGCTTAAATCACCTTTCTTTCCCATTCTGACATTCAGTTTGGAGTTCGGGAGATTGTCTTGACCAGGACCACACCCCTAAATGCATTGAAGCAACTGCCATGTGATTGGTTGATTAGATAATTGCATTAATGATAAATTGAACAGGTGTTCCTAATAATCCTTTAGGTGAGTGTATACAGAGCTACCACAAAAATGGAAGTTCAAAGACAAAATTCTGAAGATGGCTGTGCTTGTTTCTCTGCCGCATAAGGTCTATAGCATAATTAATTTCCTCTGTGACTTCCTAAAGTAAATGTGTCTTTGTTTTGTGCAGTAGAAACATTAATCTTCCTCATGTCATTGACTTTGACAGTCTGGCTATTGCCACCTGGTTTAGATCAGACTTCCGATTACTGAAAATTATGCAATCTATCCATCTTTGTATCTTTCGTACCATCTGTCGGTCTAAGTCTCCGTCCGTCCTGAATTTGGGGCAAAAGAGCACTGAGAAAGTAACGCAGCCTCTGGAGCGGATTCTTAAATGAACAAACTTCATTAAACACCAACACCACTCCATGTAACTCAATACTCCCCCAGAGAGAGACTTACACAAACATGACGATTGAAGGAAAAGTCTGTCTTAAAAACAGACAGTGCTCTGAAAGAGATTTTTGGTTTTTGAGCGGTGGGCACATATAAAGATCACATGCCTTCCTCATTGCACATTGTAGTAAAACTGCAGCCAAACGTCGACAACCAACCACAAACACAGTCAGCCTGTAACTCAAGGCCAGGCGCTCACAGCTCCCGCATGTGTCTTCCTCTGAGACTCATGGGATAAAGCACTGTTCAGACCCCATCTAATCACACCCAGAATGTTTCACACACTGGCATTTCACAGATATTACAAGGATGGACAGGTGCACACACACTCGCCAGACAAGAGCAAACCTCTGCTTTCAACAGTAGGTAATTGAGTAACAGTTGACCAGTAGAATGGCCCATTGTGCTTAACGTCACAGATCAGGGTGTCGCTGAGGTCAGTTATGGCTTTCTCTCACATACAAGTGTGTCATGCCTATTTTCGCATGCTTTTGAATCTTATTAAAAGTCTGTTTTTTGTCTAAGACTCTAGCTTTCACTGTAATGTGGTGTTATAGGAAGTGGAGGGCCATTATGCTAGACGAGGACTTGTTTAAATATTGTATCTCCCAAGGAGCAGAACAAATAATTCTGTAAATGACTTTATTAATGTATCATTATTAATGTATCATAATATTGATACTAAGGAAAAAGTTTTTTAAAAATTGCAACGTAAATAATAGCGATACCATAGGCCCTGTTTATGAAGTTTCTTCAACCAGTTCTGGTTGGACTTGTCAAGGTGAGGATCTCTCTCCTACTTTTTTAATAAAAACAATAGTGTGGAATGAAAAAGTGATCAAACAATCAAGGTTGCACATAACCGGTAAAGTTTGAAACCTTTCTTTGGAAGATTGACAGGTGATTTATCCGTCATCCAACATTCATCCAACAAAAACAAGGGTTTCCAGAAAAATACAGTTAGACTAAAAATGTATTTTTGATCACCTCTGAATGTTGATAAAATTAACAAATCTCTAAATATTTTGGGTCCCGTTTCAAATGAATCACTGACACAGATGTTACAGGTTCATGGGTAAATGTAGAGATTCCAAGGAGTGGGAGATCAGGAGAGTGACGTTGGGTTCATTCTGGGCCAAAGACATTTAGATTTTACCAATAGAAAGTCTGTCATGATTTGAAGAGAATATTTTGGGGGGTTAATTTATTTTTATTTTTATTATTAACATAAAATTAGCCAAGATTCACAGGGAAAAATTCCCAGACTATCTGGATGGAAAGTAATTTGATACTGGACATGATGAAACTTCATCCGGATAAAGAGAAATTCCATCCATGCATAAAGAAACTCTGTTGTAACTCAATCTGAGATTGTCAGGATATTAAAGGAAGTTTATTTTATTTATTCTTTATTTATCACTCTATTTAAAAAAAAAAAAAGTATACAGTATATGCTTTATCAGAACTGCAGCTGATTTCTAATTTGAATTAAATATAACTGTGACTAGGATGCAGAAATTATGCAACTTGATAAAATGCATGATGGTTCAAGGAGAACCGTTGTATATTTGAGATCTCGGCCCAAAATCCACCGCTGGGTTTATTTACGGGGAAACGATGGTTCCCATGCTGTTCGTCAAAAAGGAGGAGGAAAAATATTTACAATGGAGGGTAAATCAATAAACTACACAGAATACAACAAAATCAAAACACAAATATTTTCCCAGCACTCCCACATTTTTGGCTGATACCCATAATGCCTCATTCCCTTCAGGCTCAAATGCTTCTAAAAGTAAAAGGAAAACATCGGTTCGGTTTATTATTATTCATTAAAGCTAATATTTAACACAAGTCAGAGTCTAATAATGTTTGCTCAAGGTCTTAAGTATGTTAAATGTACTGATATCAGATATCTTAAATATACTGTAGTTTAATAAATATTTAAAATGTTCTTTTCCGTTACCTTGGTATAGTGTCCAAAAAGACATCTGATTCTTATATATTCTTATTGAGCGCGTGTGTGTTTTTTTAGAGGGGTGCATTCGTGAATTTTGCTATAAAAATAATATATATTACTAACTTGCAGTGAACTGATTGATTTTAAAGACACTAAGAATGTAATTTTTCAGTTTTCAGTCATTAGAAAGAGGCTAAACAATAACGTTTTTTGATTCAAATTAGTTGGTTTTTTTTTATTTAAAAAAAATCATTGACAGTTGTTTCTTTCAAGTAAATTAAAAAAAAATTTCAGTGTATCTTGTTATTCATTCATGTTGTAAAGCGATTGACAGAGCGAAGACTTGTCTTTTTTCTGTCCTCCAACCTCCAGTGCAATGACAAATGATTCAGGAGATAAAGATTTATTAATGGCAAATAAAATTGTCATTATTAAAAGTGACTGATAGGAGAGGGCAGAAACTGAGGGTAATCATTTAGATTGCTGTAGTCGGCTCTTCTTTGACTAATGGACTGATGACGTCTGCCGGAGCTTTTAGTGGGATGAAACGCCATTGATTAAATGTGTGTGTAAGAACAAGCAAGAGACAGAGGTGAAGGTGTAGATATAAAAGCAAATGCAGATTGAGATCCTGTGTTGCAGCAATAGATGAACTAGTTTACACACGCACACACACATTTGTTTTTTCATCATGGTGGGGACTTTCCATTGACTTTTATTGTTATTATACCGAGCTAATTATATTTTCTGTCCCCTAACCCTACACACAACCCTCTCAGAATCCTTTCTGCATTTTTCGATTTTATTAAGATGTTATTTATTTAGTTTATTAAGCTGTTTTCCTCTTGGAGACCGTTGGCTGCTTCCCACCATGTAACTGATTTCAGGTTTTACTGAGCTTATGAGGATATTTGATCCCCATAATAGACAAAACCAGAGCCAGACACACACACAATGTGTTTCTGTCTTTCTGTCTGATTCATTCATTCATGGCTTTAATGTGATCTATTACCGTCTGCTTTTCCATTAGAGTTTCATTTATCACAAAGACAAACACACGCTTACATCATCTGCTCTGTCTTCCCGAAGGAACAGAACATCACCACTCTCTTATCTCTGTTCCTGTATCTGTCTCTCTGTTTTTTAGGTGGATAAAGTATGTGGTCACTCTTCAAACGCGTCTTCAAGCACAGAAGGGACGTTTCCTCCGGCCTCAGTCACACCTCCAACTGCCAACATCTCACAGGACGTGCCGGGAGGCGATCCGATCGGCATGTTGGCGCACCTTCACAGGTTAGGCTGGATCCCTTTAGTTCTGTCATTTACTAAGACTTATGTAGCAAAAAAAATTGTTTTTTAATGTTTTTGAAAAATGCCTTTTTAACACTTTTTTTTTATTGGATATAGAAAGAGGTTATGATGTTTGAATAAAAATAAGTCTTGATTGATTATCTGTTTAAATAAGTTTAATCGGACCGATTCCAATAATAAAAGCACATGTTGATCAATATGGCTATGACCACCAATACATTGTGCATCCGTATTTTAAACTGATTTGTTAGGCCCATGATTTATTTCTGTGTTTAATAAGAAGCATGTCATATAGTGTGTGTAAATATGTATGTATAGCAGCCACAAGCTTTGGTCAAACAGACACAGTCAGCCAGTGTCTCTAAAGACCCTGATTAAAAATATGCTACTGGACATTTAACTAAGTGTCTTCAGACCCAGATCTTCAAGGCCCACACATTACCCATCACTAAGTGGTAGGCTGGCAAGGACAGTGCTGTAACAGGCACTGAGACTGTTGCCAGCAGGAACACATAGAGATAAATGGATTAGATTTTTTTTTCTGGAGTGCAGGAGTCGGTGGAGGAGAGGACAGCAAACACTCATCACCGTACAAATGACATCATCTCTGCACCCAGAGTCATGGAAATGCTTTGACCAGCAAACCAGGAGATTTATCATTTAAAAATGTCAAATTATTTTCAATGGGTAGCTAGAGTGCTCCATCATTAAGAGAGGTCAAAACACAATGTTATAATTAGTAAAAAATATGTTACGTCCATGTTGAACCTCAAATGATATGCGTAATGGAACTCAACAGCAGGGTTCTGGAAGTAAAAATGCCATTCAAAATCTTCATTGTGAAACGGACTTAATTAATAATGTGTAAAACTTTCGTGTTCCCTAGTTTGTTCCCACTCTTAAGTCATATGATTTGTCTAAAGCCATAAGCTAACTTTGTGTGAGGAACGGACCAAACGTGAAACTTATTTTAAAGTACTTCACCATTTTTAATCCACCAATCAGAGAAGTCATAGATACCAGCATCGCAGCAGTCACCAGACTTTTTTCCAAGCTATTGGAGGCTAGCTGGGTAATATTAAGAAGCTAATATGGTTCAGTTAATACAGTATTATGGATGGATTTATACAGACATTGGTAATGTTTTCTGAAGAATTAAAGTGCCCCTATAGTGCTATTTTACGGGTTCCTAATTTTGTTTTGGAGGTCTCCTACAACAGTTTACATGCATCCAAGGTCAAAAAACACTTAAATTTTTTTCATAATAGATTGTACATCACATTTCTCAAAGAGTCTGAAAACAGTTTGTTCAAAGATTCAGTCTCTTTAAGCCCCTCCTTTCCGAGAGCCTACGCTACTCTGATTGGTCAGATGGCTCAGTCTGTTGTAATTCGACTACAGTGCATATCAGAAACTAAACGTCTATTACCATATCTGATTTTAAGCTCACCACTTAATACACAATGATACAAACAGTAAACATGGCATTGGATTTTCCGTATCAATTCCAGCGCGAGTCATCATCCTTTTGAAGTGCATGCAAAGTGCTTTCACATAGGGCTGTCGCGATAACCGCAATATTGCGGTACCGCGCTACTGACAGGCCAACCGCAGAGGAATGCAAGTAACCGCAGCAACCGCCAAACCGCGTTTTCTTTTTTCATAAGTAGGGATGCAACGATACCGCTTTTTCAAAACCGATCCGATCCGATACCAAAATTCTGAGTATTGGCCGATACCGATACCAATCCGATACCAGTGCAGTTTTTTTTATATCAAGTAAAATTTCTATAACTCTATGTTTAACACACAAAAGAGTGATTATAAGTTCAACACACAATCTACTTAATACAGACAACTTAATTTTAAAGAAAAACAACAAATCCAAAAAATATATGATCATAATCTGTGACAAAAATGCTATTATAGACTAGATTAGTGGAGATTTCAGCAGTAAAATTTAGTCTAGAAAAATCGCGAGTGCACAATAATTGTATAAAATCGGAACAGTTAGGGGAAAAAAATTAGGGGAACAAATAAGAGACAATAAGTGTAACACTAAATCTGGTCAAACGTTACAAATTGCTCTTTGTATTGTTGTCAAATACATTCATGAAAAACAAGATAACAAAAATCAAAAAGATAAATTATTATATATAGCCTATATAGGCTACTATAAAATTGAGACATGTTTTAAATGTATAGCACTGCTGTTTAATGAGGCAGCAACATATGATAGATAGGACAGAACAAGAAAGGCTATTAATAATCTTTCATTGCGCAAAAGTAGTATGATATGATTATGAAAGACTCCAATACAGTGCGGCACACAGCGCTTATGCGCATCCCGAGCGCAGAATGATGTGCTTGAAGCAACACGGAGTCACAGCGCGTCGAGTCCGCATTGAAAAGTTCAAAGCACAAAGGAAAGACATATCGATGCGTAGTGTATTATACACAGTATCTATCTATGCAATCGTTTATTGAGCCTTTTCTTTTAATAGTTTTACATTTCAGTTACTGTGCGCGTGAAGAACTATATAGTGCTCTGACTCTACTCTAGTGTTGCGATCTAACAGACGCCCAGTAGAAAGTAACATGATTTAGTTACAGCAATAAAGTCCTGCAATATAAAGTTGTTTTATGCGAAACCATAGACCTTTTATCTACAGATCAAGTATAATAATAGTAGCATTGAATCATCTTGTTGAGAGTTTCCTCGTGTTGACTCTTGTACCCGAACGCGACGCGCTGTTTGATGCTGAATGGAGAATGACTGACAGCCGCAGCGGAGGGAAAAAGTTTACGTGATCTTGAATTTAATGACTTAAAATATTAATTTATATCTCACATTATACTATATAATGGCTTTAGAACACTTAGAAGATAGTGCACGAAAACTTTATGGTGCTTTATAATGTTTTTGTGCCTTTTGTGGGGCTTAACAATAACACAGAATAATATGCACAATATCGGATTTGGATCGGCCTCGTCTGACCGATACCCGATCCGGCAAAAATGGCAGTATCGGAGCCGATACCGATACTGAGTATCGGATCGATGCATCTCTATTCATAAGGCCACCATTCGTAGTTCGTACCATGTGTATTGAATGTTAAAGGTGCTCTAAGCGATGTCACGCGTTTTTTAGGCCAAAACATTTTTTGTCACATACAGCAAACATCTCCTCACCATCCGCTAGCTGCCTGTCCCCTGAACACACTGTAAAGAAATGCGATCTCTGTAGACAGCCCAGGCTCCACAAACAGCAACAAAAACAAACTGCGGTGACCCGCTCCACGAAACATAACAAACTGTTCCAGCCAATGACCGACAAGAAGGGTTTGGGGGTGTGGTTTGGGGGGTTAGTGTGCGGATGAGGAGGAGGGAGGGTCTCCCTCTAGCCTCCGTTTTGTTTGACAATAGTTGGAACGTCAACAAGAAGTGACGTCACCCAGGATCGCTTAGAGAAGCTTTAAATAAGTTAATAATGATAACAAGACTGTTTATCATGGTGATTTGTACAGAGGCTTCGTGGATTTGGTCTTAAGCCTAAACAGACAGTGAATGAGATCGCCTGAGCGCGTGCGATTACCTGCGTCTGTCTTTGAAGTCAAGTCATGTATATTCGTGAAAAGGTTGCCGTTTCCAAGGAAAGCGAAATATTTGTCGTATCATCCTTTTAACGTGTAATGCTACGTTCACACCGGACGCGAATAGCGCGTCAAATTCGCGTCTACCGCGTCTAGTTTGACGCTTGACCACTTTGTGTTAATTCGCGTGTCAATGGCGAAATTGACGCGCGTAAAAACAAAAGTTTGAAGCGAAATTTACGCGCGTCAGAGGCGAAAGTTTCGAAACCCGTCGGCGGCCATCTTTTTAGATGTTTATCGAGCATTAGCATTAGCATTATTCGAGAGAGTCACCGCTCGTATATGCTCTGGAGAGCAGAAACAGCTGCGTAGGGGACATCGTCGCTGTACTCGGGTCCACCAGACCCTCCGGAGGGTTTCAGGAGTTTCACCATTTGTTCCAGGAGCTAGGTTTGGTGGACCTAACGGTGAGGATGCTGACGAGGACACCGTAGGCCGTGTAAAGCCTCGGCCTCGAGTGGTCGCTGCCTGACGAGCCCGCGCTCTACAGCCCGGCGCGAGGTTCACCCTCGCCCGCACATTTATTTGATAATAAATGGAGCCAGCCTCCAAAAGTGAAACCTGTCCTGTGATTTTTTTATTTATTATACACTGTGTTTGTTGTTTTTACATTAAAATAATAATGTTTCATATAATCTAAAATAGATATGGAATAAATAGCATTCAATACAAAATGAGTACTATCTCTCATATATTAAAATCGAGTTTTTATGTGAAAGATTTGCTTTGTTGTGCATTAGAACCACACCAGACATTTTAGTAATATTACAAAATAATTTATTAAAATAACAAACTTTCACTTCACCACGTGACAGCAGCAAGCAGGCTCCTGATTGGTTAACGCGGCGCGAATTGACGCAGAAGTTCAAATTTTTCAACTCGGGCGGCAGACGCGAATTCGCGTCAAACGCGTGAATGCACAAATAGCACTAACTAAATCATTCGCGCGTAACGCGCTTCCGCGCCAGACGCTTCAATTCGCGCCATTCGCGCGAACTTGACGCGCGAATGAGGCGTATTCGCGTCTACCGCGCCGCGCTCTACGCCTCATTCGCGCCGCAGGAATTTTTTACGCGCGCAACGCGTCTTTGCATTGACTTAACATTGAAATCACTCGCGCCTGACGCGCTATTCGCATCCGGTGTGAACGTAGCATAAGGGTATTTACCATGAATGGCGTCAGCGCTGGTCAGCATTACACAGCGCGAGGAAGCCGTGGGGGGAAAGCAGCGAGTCACGCATTGGTCTCTATTAAGTGAAGCATTGCTTCAGCTTTGCCCAAAAGTGAAGCATTGCTGGCCAGCTGAGCCTTGAAAAGTGGAGCTCAAATTAAAAAAAAATAATTAACGCCTTGTTTCATTGCATCTATCATTTAAGGAATCAGCTTTTTTGAACGTTTTCGTTGAATGAACGGTTTAATGACTCACTCAAAGACAGTCCGTTGGCATAACAATGTAACTGCGCGCTGAGTGACAGTCTTTCAATGCGCAGAGACGCTGTTTAGTTTCGGTTACATTGTTTTTGTGTATGCTGACCACGTCATAACACGTATTTATAGCAACAAATAAATATAAATAAATAAATGGCGGTAATACCGCATATCGCGCTATTGAGCCACTCAAAATTACCGCAAGGGAAATTCCTTCACCGCGACAGCCCTACTTTCACATCGTAGTATCTTCTTGACATGTCAGCAACATGGACTGAACTCTTCCAGGCCTGAGGCCTCAGCTACAACTACAGTGTTGAGGGCTGGTCAGAGTAGACGCTGTTCACAGGCAGCAAATGAAGACCATAGGTTGCTTTTATGAAAATTCCCTAAGGGTGACACATTATGCCCCTTTTCACAAGATGTATTATAAATCTATGGTGTCCCCAGAATGTGTCTGTGAAATTTCAGCTCAAAATACGCCCCAGATCATTTATTATAGCTTGTCAAAGTTGCCCCTTTTTGGGTGAGACCAAAATCGCGCCGTTTTTGTGTGTGTCCCTTTAAATGCAAATGAGCTGCTTCTCCCCGCCTCCGTTCAGAAGAGAGCCGATCCTTTACACGAGCTTCGTATACTCCAGCAATAACAAACGCGAATTTCAGTTACATCTCAGAAATAACTCGTAGTGGAGTGCAGCCTTACAGAGAGACTCAGGAAAAGATTGTAATTTTTAGACTGCACCTGGACGTTTCTGAATGGTTAGTGGATACATGAATGTAGTTGTGGAGTTACATTGATTAATCTCATCGACTTGCAATGTACTACTGACTGTCATGTTCTACTTTTACACAAGTTGACAGTTCCCTGAGGTCTTTATAAGACAGCTGTGACATTTTTGGTCAAACGTTTTCAGGGTTGTAGATGCACAGGGGACCCAATTATAGCACTGTCAGATTTTCATGATATGTCCCCTTCAAATTGTTACGTAGGTATGTAACAGGACATAAAACTAATTGCTGATGGCTTGTATCAATTCAGAATCTATTCTTTCTTTTAAGAGACGTGTATAACCTTAATAACCTCATTTTTCGTGTACTTTGATCTTTAAAACTTTTCAGACCTTTTACATATATTACACACTGCATGAAAGTTAATATTCGAAAAAGCATAATAGACACTTTAAAGCAACTGATTCGATTTCATAATTTGCAGTGCTTGCATTTAATTCCCTCAAAATGTTAAATGCACCTTTTTTTAATTTTCAAGTACTTTTTTTTGTAATCTCAGAGCTTGGTTTTAATCCTAGACAGTTTTCTGAAATGTCTATTGAGAAACTGAGTGGGAAAAAAGTACTTTCAGAATCTAAGTTGGTGGTCGCTGTTGAGTTTTATTGCTAGTGTGTTGTAACCCATCTTCCAGGTTCTGGTTTGCATGTGCATGAGTGGTTTTAATTTTCTCCATGGTCATGATTTTTCTCTCCCTCTCTCACCATCATCCCCTCCCCCTGTTTTGTTGCCCTTTGGTTTCTTCCATCTTTCTGTCCTCCCCTCCAAACTGCTTGCCTCATCCTCCTCTGGACTGTTCCATTATCTTGTACTGGGGGTTTGACCATTCTCAGTTCACTCCCTCTGAAAACCTCCAAGAGCGATAGAGGTAGAACTCTGAAAAAGGTTGCACGGTAAGCATGAATGCATTTACTAAAAATTGCATTTATCTTTCTTTAAAATGTGTGTCTGCGTGTGTGGTTACCTTGGATAATATAGGTTAGCTCCACTTCTGTTCTACACTCTTACTACCTTACCAGTTAGGTTGTTTTCACACTAGTACTTTTAGTGCTGATCGAGTCCCTTTGTCATTTAGAGCTTGGTTTGTTTGTTTGTTGTGAAACCTGAATGGTTGTACCCAAGTCTGCTCAAAAAAATTTTCTGGACTGCGGTTCATGTGGACTCCAGTATAATTCACATTTGTTACAAATGCAGTCTGGCCTAATTTTTGCATGTGAACCACTAATCTTACCATAATTTGTTGTTCGTTATCGACTCTGGATGACAGAAACGTTTAAAAACGTGGGCTTATGGGAGAGGGATGGAATTGAACTTGGGTTCAGATCAAGCAAACAAATCTAAGTGTGAAAACAGCCTTTGTAATTGTAAATTTAGGATGCCTGATAGGTTCCTTACTAAGCATGTGACCTGTAACTACCCACTTCCATGCTCCATCCTCCAAGTCTATTTTTATTTTATTTTTCATAGACTTAAAGGGTTAGTTCACCCAAAAATGAAAATTCTGTCATTAATTACTCACCCTCATGTCGTTCCAAACCCATAAGGCTTTCGTTCATCTTCGAAACACAAATGAAGATCTTTTTGATGAAATCTGAGAGCTTTCTGTCCCTCCATTGACAGCTACGCAACTACCACTTTGACGTTTCAAAAAGTTCATGAGATCATTAAACGAATCCATATGAATTGAGCGGTTTATTAAAAATTTTCTGAAGACACTCGATCGCTTTATCCTGTTAACTGTCACCCCCCTTTTTTTTGCATAGACATAAAAATCATTATCCAAACTTAAATGGTTGTAATTCAGGAATGCTTTGGAATATAGACCTATGGCTGGTCTTGTTTTAAAGAAGACATTTTCCAGATTATTGTAGAAGTCTAGAAATTATAAAAAATGGAACAGAAAAAAAGTTATATAAGTTTGAGTTTATGAAATTGTGTAATGTAAAAATATAATGATTAATATTTTATATAAAATATATATATTACAAAATATATTTTACTCTAAAACTGCAAGAAAATTAAAGACAAAAATCTGAACAAGTTGTATTCCAAATTTTAGGTTGATATCTCAAAAAATGAGCTTTCAGTAAGATTTTATTCGGGCACAGTACCCAACTTTTTCACTAGGTGAACACCAGACTCCATTACTGCCCATATAAGGGCGCCTCCATTTTCATATGTTTTGAGTGATCTGAACCATGTATTTCCATAATTGTCATACAATTTATGAAGTAGATATTCTATTCAGAAGTAGTATGGGGGTTTGGCAGTATTTGATTTGAATTAAACCTCTAAAAAGGTACGTTATAGCGTTATAGCTCGCAGCCGCATCACAAATCGAGAATCCATACATTTTTCTTTATATTTAAAACATTTTCAGACCTTTTTTTCTCATAAAATGGAATTGGTGTTATCTTTTGAACTCATGGCATGAAAACAAACTGAGGTTTCTACCAATCTTTCATGATTTTTCATGTTTATTGTTATTTCAAAATAAAGGCCTAAATACTCCTAATGAATATGAAATATTCTTGTTGCAAATTGATACATTTCTGCTCCTCTGTAATTTATTTTAGATAACAGCCACCAAATATGAAAACTAGAGATTTTAAGCTTTCAAATGATATATAGTTTGGCAATATTACTTTAGGTTTTTACTAAGATATTATTGTTTTAAACATGCAAAGGCATGACAGGTTAAGAGGTTAAATGATAAACAGATTTTGGCTAATTTAGGCTTTTATTCACATACGTTGATCAGTGAACATAAACAGAAGCTCAACCGAACCTGCTTGACGCACGAGAATAAACATCTTGCGGAACACGAGAATGAACCTCATTGGATCTCGCATGTCAAGCAAGCATGATTGAGCTTCCGTTTACCACAACTGATGTGTGAGTTGATGAATGTTTATATGTGAATAAAAGCCTAAATTTAATCTGTTCATCATATAAAGCAATCGTGTCTCTTCAGAACAATTTTGACTAAACTGCTCAATTCATTTGGATTACTTTTATGGCATCTTTATGAACTTTTTGAAACATCAAAGTGGTAGTTGCATAGCTGTCAATGGGACAGAAACCTCTTCATTTGTGTTCACAAGATGAATGAAAGTCTTAAGGGTTTGGAACGACATGAAGGTAATTAATGACAGAATTTTCATTTTTGGGTGAACTATCCCTTTAAATAATATAATATAATATAATATAATATAATATAATATAATTAAATACTTCAAAACAGGTTCCTAAAGCTGTTGTTAGTGATACAATTAATCTTTCTCTGAGTTTTGTCTTTCAAAACTTTTTTTCATAATGTTATTTATCACTTGTGATATATATGTGTTGTTTATTTGTTGATTTTGTGTTATAGGGAGTTTACGGCCTACATCTCCCGTTATAAGTCCTTCTTCGCCATACTTCCAGAGACGTTGTGCGAAGCAGAGATGGGCGTCGATGAGCTCACATGTTGGAGTGGAGACGACGTGGTCAAAAGGTGAGACATTCAGGGTGTACAAACAAATTACTTTGCACTGGAAACTTGTTACTTTGAGTCTGGTTAGGACTGTGTAAGATGGACTGTGTGCATGTGAGTGCACAAAACATTACGTTTAATTTAGAACTAAATATTTATGTTTCTTTACCCTGCGTAAAATAATCACTTAAACCAGCCTCAGATAGTGTGCAGGTCTATAGCTCGTCTCCCTTTGCCTGGTCATGCTGGTCTGTTGGCTCGTTTTAGACGGGTTTTGGGCACTTTTCAGCTTGACTATAGGCTGGAAGACCAGGGGCAAGTTGCATAAACTTAGCCACTATGTTAAGACTGTGTCTTAAAGGGACACTTCACCCATTTGCATTAAGCTTTGTATCTTTAGAAACCCAGTCATATTTTTGAATGGTCATGGTTTATTCCCTTTTTTTCCCCTGAGATGGGAGAAATAAGGATTTAAGTGTTCCACTTCCTGCTTTTTATGACGTAAAAATCGTCATTTTGCGTCATAAAAAGCAGGAAGTCCCATTTCTTTTGTATAAGGGTTGAGACTACAAATAGCTCATCATTTATCCAGGGTGTGGGACCCACTCACGCTACAGACCTATTACAGATCAGTGGGTGGGACTTCACTTGCAGATACTGAAATCAATATCAGCCATCTTGTTTAGAAGCTAAGCTAACAAGCGCTGTGGAGATAGGAAGTTACGACAATGATGGAAGAAACTAAACATGATATGGAAGAAGAGGATTTTGAAATTCTGCTGCTCGAATCCGCTGTCTTTACGAGCCGCAATATAGTGAAGAGCAGCTGATGGAGGAACAGGAGGCGGCTGCCTGTCACGGACGAGGAGCCCGGACTGGCTCGAGCTGGGCGGACTGCTGGTGCCTGTGCTCTCGCTGTGCGCTACGGACACAGATAGATCCGTCTGCTGCAGAGAATTTCAACAATGGCAATTTCTCCTGGACGAAATCTCTGAATCAGACGAGCACACGGATGTTTGTGTTGTGATGTGAACCATCCTAGTTTCGCACCGCATATGTTCTGACTGAACATCCCGGTATCATGCAATAATTCACCATATAGAAAGAAATACAAACGAGTAGTAATTCACTAATGAGTTTGCCAATGTAACGGGGTTCGTTGTTGTGGGAAGGAGGAGGCGGGAACCGGCGAACATTTTAACATTTAAATAGTAAAATAAACAAATACAAAACAAAAGTATACGCCAGCAGCCACACACAACAGAAACAAAACACAACATAAAATCAGGCCTGTTCCTCTCTCGATCTGCACTGTCGTCGCTCCTCCTTTTATGCTTCCGCTCCTCGGTGAGAGATGCGAGACCGGTGCGTCTCACAGGTGTCGTTCACTATCACTCACGCCACCGGCCTCGCGCCGTCCTCTCACGTCCCTCGCCCTCGTCCTGCTCGCCACAGCCAACTAACTAGAAATTTTGTGTGAAATGAATTTCAAACTCTGGTGGCAGCTAACGTTAGCCTTGTAGACGGAAGAGTGATTTGCGCTGTTCTGGATTAGTGGGAGTGGCTTGTGGAGCTGTGCAATGTGGTGCATTGTGGGAGTTGTTGTCTTGCATACAAATGCGCCCTAAAGTTATTTTCTGTCTTTTCTCGGTCAAGAGGGCACCAAATTCTAAATTTCTTTTACATTTCGACTACATATATGACCCACTTTCAATAAAGATAAATGTTGAAATGGGTGAAAGGCTCCTTTAAGAACTATTTTGACCAACTTGTTGGTAACCAAGCGGTAATTAGTTGTACTTTTCCAATTCCAAATGGAGTAGACAATCTACCTTTTTATGTAACTAGTCTTGAAGGAAGAAATTAGATGACTAACTTTTAAGACTAGTCTAAGCAGTTTATGTAACCAGCCCCACATACTTGGCTGGTTTAAGTGGGGTTTTTTCAGCAGGGTAAACCCGGTTATACACTCAGTGTTTTGCCAGGTCCCATCTGGCTCGGGTCTGGTATGTGCATGTGAGCTCTCAAGAAAAAAGAAAAACACATCATTGCAAATAATCACTAAGGAAAGTACAGATGGAAAAGCCAAACACACCCACAGAGCTCCTCCATTAACAAGAAATTACCTTTGGGCCGCACTGACTGACGCCTAATAGATTTATAACAAATATGTTGCCCCTCAGAGAGAAGTGTTTACTTTGAGAAAGTATGTCTGGCTCCAATTTCATGCCTCAAAAGATAACTCACCTTAACGACCAATGACAAACGACTTAACCGATGTAAGGCAGCATAGAGGATTGCTGTTGCATTAACAGCCAGGAGATGTCTGAGATGCCAGATTTTGATTTCTTTCTTTTTTCCCTTTCCTTCCCGCTCTCTCACCAAATTCTTTGTCTTTAAGGGATTTGACTCAGAGGCTGTTTTGTGGTGTTTGTGGCCCAAAGAAAGTCTTTTTCTCTCACATCCAGCACTCTTTCGTTCTCAGAAAGGTCACGTGGCAAACGACGATCTGTGTTTCATTTCCCTGTTGGCTTCACTTCTTAAGCACCATCAGCAGAACATGCAATTATGACAATATTCTCTCTCTCTCTCCCTCACTTTCACTCGTTCCGTCCCCTCGTACGCAAATGTGGTTGTCCCTCCTCCCATCAGTCTCTATAGTAACCAACCAAATCCTGGCCATCAACAATGCAGTTAGAGAGAGAGAGAAAAATAGGAAGATGGATAGAAATAATCTATATATGGCTCTACTCCACATCAATGTCCTTATTAAAAGTACTGGCGTGGTACCATAGTGTTCGATGGTAATACTATGGTACTTTGATATACAGTAGACTATGGTGTTGAATTATCTGTGTACTCTGGTATTTACTTAAAGTCTTTCAGCATTATGTACATACATAAGTTATAATAATATAAATATAACATTTGACAATGTTATCTGAACAGAAAAGTTATTTCTAAAGGGGAGCAAATTAGTACATTTTTGTGTAAAATTACGAAAAAAGTTTTTTTTTTTTTTGTGGAAAATCATGCAACTATAGTGAATCATTCCCATAAGACCGGGAACGTGCATTAAAGCAAACAGGATCGATTTAGATTTCATGTTGACTTGAAGCAGCATGTAAGGATTTTGATCTCCAGTAAAAACACACTCTCTTCTGCAGTCCAAAAAAAAAAAAGTTGTCTTTTCTTCATCCCTGTTTCTGTCTCTTTCTTTTTCCCCCCATAATTAATCAGTATTTGAAATTTGGCTTAACAATTTGTTTCCAACAGAACAGTCTTTCTGTCAGCGAGATGCAGAACAGAAACAATCCAAAAAGAGTTGTAGCATTTTTTTTAACTATTTGGAATGAATATTTGAATGTGAATGTTTAGACTTGTTTAGACCAGTTAGAATAAAACTACTTTACAGTGGATTTAGCTGTATTTTTCAGCAGATTGCATAATGAATCATCCAGGGTCTCTATCTTTGACTCCATTGGATGCTCTTTCACATTTGGGTTGGTGTTACTCCAAGCTCTCTGCTGTCTCCAAGAGTCTCACTTTGTATCGTTTAAAAAATTCATTAGTTTTTCACCACAGCTCTTGCTTAGTTGGATGGTGTGGTGTAATGGCTAAGCATCTGGGCTTGGAACCAAAAGGCTGTCGGTTCAAATCACTTAAGGGACAATTCATAAACCATCACCGTGGTGCACTTTAGCACATTTCGTTGAAGTGAATCTGTTCCAGAGTAATTTGGATACAAAAATATGTTACAGGACTGCTACTTAATGGTTTCTACGCACCAGAACTTTCCTCTCCACTCTGGACACCAAACCACACCAGCGAATGGATTGATTGATAATCGCCCACTGGTTCTAGAACACAAGTCCAAACTGAATGACCTCCTGAAGTACAGGATTTGAAATCTTCCGTCTTTGTACATGAGTGCTGGGTTCTGGACACAATTGTCAAAGGTCAACTATAATGCTGAGTACTTGTACTATTGCTTTTTGCAGCTATGGCCGAATAATTAGAAGAATAAAAAGAACAGAGATGTGATTAATCACTTAAAAGTCTTGAAAGTGGACAATTAAAGGGATAGTTCACACAAACATGAAAGTTCTGTCATCATCTACTCACACTCATGTCTTTCAAAACCAGTATGACTTTATGTGAAACAAGAAAACTTTTTTTTTTCCTGTCCATGGACTGAAAGTCAAAGGTGTCTTTTTTTATTGTTGGACATGGGTTTGAAACAACATCAGAGTGAGTAAATGACGACAAAATGTTAATTTTAAGTAAACCATCCTTTTATGTTTTATTCACATTGACAGCGATTTCATCACTTTAGATCTCTAAAGTTTTTTTTTTTTTTTTTTTTATGTAAAAAGAGGTGAACTCTACGGTCTGCATTCCCAATTGTAGTCACTGCATCATTCCTCAGTTGTTAGGCAAAAAATTAGGCAAATTAGTCACTAAAAGTCATTCATGTTGTTTAAAATAACCAAAACTCCTTGAAACAAATCACTGTCAGTGTGAAACCGTTCTAGCCAGAGAGAGACAAGACAAGACTCAAAGACCAGAGTGATTCCTGGCGTTACAATACAGTGACAACCTCTGAAGGTGAGGTGTGGATGGGGTCGTCCTGCAGAAGAATGCAGGGAGGTCTCTCAAGGGCCGCTGTGCTGAATCTGGGTCCCCCGCGGCCTGGAGCCGGAACAAAGGGCCTCCTGTGAGCTCTGTGTGGGAAACAGTGGAGGAGAGAATCCCAACGCCCAGCCTGGGAATGTGCCCTCTAAATACATGGAGCAAAACCCATACAGAGAGAATAAATATTGCACACACACACACGGATGTTAGACTGTCTTTTTCTTTGTAATGGTGTCACATCTCTTCATCAGTCAAATCTATGTACGTGAAGCTTCATGCTCATGCACAGATCACTTCAAAGCATGTCAGAGGGGATGGTGATTTGATTTCTCATTTGTTTTCAACTCTTTCATGCTAGGCTTCTGGAAATACTCAGCAGTCGATAT